CTGTAGAATAGAGGCCAGCCACATAAAGATTGTATTTTCTTCACGTACAATAACTGCATTTGCAGTTCTCTCTGTGAACAATGTGATGTGCCTCTGACAACGTTCAGCTATGTCCACTATTTTGGAGGAATATAAATTTCTGTCAATCTTTTCGGTGAATTCGGAGCAGATTTCATTTTGAGAGAGCATGGGTTCCAGAGTTTGTATAAACTGTTCCCCGTGTTTGTCATTTAAAATGACAAATCCCACCCATCTCCATCCAAAGTGCAGGAGGAGCTGGACTAAACCCTCGTACTGGAGCGATTCATCGGGGGCCATGCGATAAAAAGGGGGGAAACGTGATTCACCAGTCGCTGCTAATTGAAATGAGCCATATGAAATCTAAAGGAAAGAAAGGAGGAATAAGAGAAAGAGAAAATAATAAAGAGAATGGATGAATATGTCCTATTTTTGTTATTTTTCAAAATATGGCTGTTTAGTAATATAGATAAGGTTCAGAAGTCTTCCAAAAAAGGACTTATCCTTTCTGAATCTTGTCTGTCTGTCTGTCTGTCATCATCATCGTCATTGAAGATAACCTACTGTATTTTTTGGACTATAAGATGCACCTTTTTGTGTCCCAAAAGGGGGTGAAAATGTGTGGGCGTGTTATAGACTGAATATTCCTGAAGCCTAGCCCACCCACTGGCCATTTTTGGCCTCTGCATGACCCGCTTTTGAGCCTTTTTTTGGATCTTTTCAGGCCTTTTTTTGGCTTGCTTTGGGGGCTTCTTTTGGCCAATTTTTGTGGCCTTTTGGGGGGCCATTTTTTTTGGAAAAAAAAATGGCTTGAAATAAGCCTGAAAAAAGCTTCAAACCCCCCCCCCCCAAAGCCTAGAAAATGGGCCAATAAAAGCCTCATAAACAGGCTGAAAAATGTTACTTTTGTTGTTTTCCTCTTGTAAACCTGGGTGCATCTTATAGTCAGGTACCTCTTATAATACAAAAAATACGGTAAGTATTTGAATTTAAAGAATCAAATCTTTCAGTGCTTCCTAAATCAATATTTCTTCTTCATGTTGTGCTCCTCATCTTTAATACTAAAACCAGATATTTGTGCACATTATGCTTAAAATGTATGAATTGAAATCAAGGAGACAGTTAATGATAGCTAGCATAAGCCTTCAGGTTCAAATAACTATGCAGTAAAATTCTTTTTTTNTTTAAGAGAGGTGGTAAGGTGGAAAAAGTGCTATATAGTAAACACAAACAAAATTTATATGTACTTCCTTGTTGCTGCATATTCATAAATAAAATAAATCATGCTCCATGCATTAAATTTTAGTATATTTTAAGTATACAACCTACATATACACCGATCTCTCAACCCTGTTCAATAGGAGAATGCCTTAGCTATGTTTAAAGTGAGCCTCCATTACCTTATCTGCTCAAAAACATTGTGTATTCTAACATTTCATACAAATGTCTATTACCTATTACATTTCCTCTTTCATCTTCTCACAGAATCTCGATCTCCTTGAAAAAGTTGCACAGGAGCAAATTGGGTAAAATTGCTCAAGATTTTACATCTGTGAAAGACGTTACTTAATAGTTAAAGCATGGAATATATGATTTCATTCCACACGTGTCATAATGCATATGCAGAAGAAAAAAAACGGTACAGCATTGCCAGGAAAGTGGGGTATAGGAGAACGTTCAATCACTCCGGAGAATTATCCTCACAAATCTTAGATATTGTACATATTGAACTATTAGCTATGACTATGCATTGCTCTGGATTTTAAACAGTTTACAGACTCAGTTGTGCTGTTGCATGATAAATCTAATAACACAGGTAGTCCTCAACCCAAAATTTATGTTTTAAAGTGACAAATTTGTTGAGTTTTGCCCCATTTTACACTTTTCTTGCCACGGTTGTTAAGCGAATTACTGCAGTTGTTAAATTAGTAACACGGTTATTAAGTGAATCTGGATTCTCCAGCTTGTCAGAAGGCTGCAAAAAGGGATCAAATGACCCCTGGACACTGCAATCCTCATAAAAGCGCGTCATTTGTCAAACATCCGAATGTAAATCGCACGACCATGGGGTTGCTGCAACGGTCGTTAAGTGTGAAAAATGGTCATAAATAACTCTTCAGTGCCATTGTAACTTCGAGCAGTCGCTGAGCAAGCTGTTGCAATCTGAGGACTACCTATATTTCCAAAGATTTCAAATACAAATTGAAAGCTTTCAAAATAGAGTTGAAGATTTTGTAAAATAATAATATGTTGGTTTGTAATTTTGCATTATTTAGTAATACACGCTCCCAAGAGGTAGGTTGATAATTTTGTTCGAGGATTCTAATCAGAGGACTGGAAACCGAATGGTGTGAGGGCATGTGGAAGATAAAATGTTTCCCCCCCGCACCCTCCCAAGGATTAAAAAATTAATAAATAAAGTCACCTGAGCCATAACACCTTTACAAGGCCAAGGAATATTGATAAAGTTGGGAAGTGAGATAACCCTCATAAATATAACTTTCAAAGACAGCGATGTTTGGAAATTAGTGTATTTTTGCCTTTTCAATAAAATGTTAAAGAATCTACACCACCACTAATCTCACTAACCATGATAGACTGTTCTACCATGTCCAATCATGTTCTGTCAATTATCGCAACAAGCAAACACGTGGGAAGAGGAAGGGGAGGAGTGGAAACTGATAGCAGGGACAGGCAGAAGCTACCACATATCTTGTAGAATCAGGCTTTAGTGCTGTTAATCAATCGAGCCGAGGTGGTGCAGTGGTTAAATGCAGCACTGCAGGCTACTTCAGCTGACTGCAGTTCTGCAGT